TGACAAGGAATCGAACATGCAACTTTTCAGTTATAGGACAATAGAGCAACCAACTGAGCCACACCAGCTAAGGCTGAATTATCCCCTTTACCCTCATACCTGTTCCTTTTCCTGTGGCCTTTCCCACAATGAGGGGAATGTTCGTCCTCACAGTTCAAGTTAAAAATGTTGCTCAAAAAAAACAAACAAACACAAAAACAACAAATCAAACAAACCCTAAATGAAAAAAACATTTTGCTCCCAGCTGTCCTAGACTCACTTGTTACTTTCATGACCATTAGGATTTGACTCCAGCCAACTTCTTTTGATTAATCTCTCAACTTTTTTCTATAGGTTTTTCCAGCTTAATTACTTGTGGTTTCCAAATGATTCTTGACACTTAAGGTCCTGGTATGGCTTTGCACATGCCTTTTTCTAGAATTTTTGCCTTTTCATCCTTGACCTATTATTTCATTTTGACAAGTCCTACTTCTACACTTTAGTGCAAGTGTTCCCTCATTTTGTTACCACAGTTCTGTGTGCTTGCGTTTAGCATTGTACTTGCAACTCCTGAATTCTCCATCCTTTGTTGTGGGACAATTCTCTACCGGTTTCTGCAGGTCTTGTGAGAGTTTTTGATCTCAGACTATCTTAGGAGCTAGAAGTAGTGTCTCCCTCTAGGGCAGAGGGCAGATTTTATTCCCTGAGAAGTACACTCCTGTCTCTGCCTGAGTCAAAGGTTGGGCAGGTTTGCTAGCAACTCCTTATAAGGCAGAGAGTTTCCTAAAGTCAGGATCCCGCAGCTGTGACTCAAACACATGGTATGTACAGCTTCTGCCTAGGGTGGTCTGCATCACCCTTGTGGAACACAGAAGGCAAGAGGAGCTGATGTGAACATGAAGATTATGCTCTCTGCTGTGCCACAAGTAATAAAGTCCTTTGTTTCTGAACTTCCAGACTCACATCTTCTGCTATAATTTATGAACCTGTGAAACCATGGCAGACTAACTTGCTAGCATGCGAGTAGGGTAAAGCTTGGACCCTTCCCAGTTCTTGACTCCACACACACTGGACTGTCAGTGCCTTGAGAGCAGGCACTGCATCTGAATGGATTTGGCTTCCCCTGTGGGTGGCACAGGTAACGCTGCTTTGGTCTAGAGGGCTTTGGATATAACTACTTACATATGTGTATTTACTGAATTCAGCTTTGAGATAATTTGCCATGACTCTTCTCCTGGTTATTATGAAGTATATACATTCCCTGGGTTTGTAGAGGGTGAAGCCTCATATCGGCATTCTGTGGCAAAGTGACATCCTCTGGGGATTAAAAATGCTACAGATACAGTAGTCCCCCCATCGATGTAAGAACATCCAAACCTGTAGAGCATTTTTATGAGTTTATCTGAGCAAAAACTAATGACAATTGCCAGGAAGCAAGATCTCAAATGCTCTGGAGAATAACTGTTTTGCAATTTCTTTTACGCATTTGAAATTAAGAACGGGCCCCAGCTGGTGTGACTCAGGGGATTGAGTGCTGGCCTGTGAAATGAAAGGTCACTGGTTCAATTCCTCGTCAGGGCTTCTGGCCGGGTCCCCTGTTGAGGGGGTGTGAGAGGCAACCGATTGATGTTTCTCTTGCACATCAATATTTCTCTCTTTCTCTTCCTCCCTCCCTTCCTCTCTCTGAAAGTAAATAAAATTTAAAAAATAAAAAAATTAAGGATGGAATTTAAGGAAGATTACATGAAGGAGGGAGAAAGTAAGGCAACGATTGGATTATAGGATAGTTAACAAGATTATGTGCTCTCTTGAGTGTGGTTACTTCTCTTGAGGGGTAGGGATTACTTCTGGCATTTCAGAGGTGTGTTAACCTAAAAATATAATAACAATGGACAGGCTTGCTAGGGAAGTTATATGCCTGGGGCATGACTACCCAGTATGATCTGCCCAGTTAGGAATTTATGATCAGATCACCCTGTGAGGTTACTTTCCATAGAACCCCTTTTCATCCACACCCCTTATCTACCAGGGATATGTTCGAAGACCCCTAGTGGATGCATGGGATTGCTGGCATAGGTTGTTAAATATTAATAAAGGAAGGGAGCAAAGGGAATCAGACATTAATAAGCACAATAAACTAGGGAGCTGAATTAGACGCTTAGCCTGCTTCACTAGGAAGTTGCAGCATTCACAGGCTCCCCAGGGGACTGCTGCGTCAGGATCTAATCCCTAAAGTGGACAGGAGGGATTGTTACCAGTTAGCCAGGGTTACTGAGAGAAAAACAAAACCACAGGCGAAATTCCTCTGCTGGGTGCATGCTCAATAGAAGCCACGATGGCACCGCGGGGAGGTGCTTCTACTATGAGTCATGCCCAATAGGAAGTAAGAAGGTAACCATAAGGGGTGGAGCCTAACCTGGGGCAAGGATCCCATTGGATAAAGGACACAGAAACCCGGAAGATCTAGGAAATAGATTTGTTAGAGGGAGGAACCAGCAGGAGCCCGTCAAAGATTGGGAAGTTGATTGGTTAGTTTGAAAAGGCGCCTGGTTCTTCCCGAGCCAGAGGTAATATAATTAGCCTAAGAAAGATATTCTCTCTCTGCCTCTCCCTCTCTCCTTCCCCCCTCCTCTCTCTCCCTCCCTCCCTCTCCCTCTCCTTCTCCCTATCTCTCTCTCTCTCTCTCTCTCTCTCTGGCTCTCTCGCTCTCACACTCAATCTCTCACTCTCAGTAATGCGCCCTCGCCGTTTGTTCATGCATTCTCTCTCCATGGTAGCCAAGTGGCCCGAATAGCTGCCTGGGGTCCGGCAGCCACGCATGGACTCCAAGCATAGGCCTGGGCACAGCGCCAGCTGAGCACAGCTGCGAGCACAGGCTAAACTAGCTGGGTGAGGACAGCGACTGAACTGGACTGACCAATGGCTCAGAATTTATGGACACTGGTCTTTCTCCTGGGCCTGCTGAAAACAAGGCTGGACCTCTTTGACACCGGGACAGGTGAAGATGAGATATTGGAAACCTGGGCACAGCTTTCCATTTCAACCACAATAAGTCTTACCACCGAAACCTATTCTCCCATACATGGGTCCTTGGAATGCTTTCCTTATAGCTCTGCAAAAGGGCCTCATTTCCACCAGCAACAGAAAAAAAGTAAAGGACTGAACCCCATGTATACTATATTTTTTTCCTATGCATACATATACTTTGCAGCTTCTCTTTGGCATGATCGAGTTGCCAGCATCACTACCCTTGTGCTTTGGGGCCATTGAGTAAGAGTTACTTGAATACTAGCACTGCTATACAGTGACTGTCAGTCTGACAACCAAGATGGCTACTAAGCATGGACAGGCAAGACAAAGAGACGGTTCATATTCAGGGCAGAGGGAGTGAGAAAAGAGCGAGGTTGGAGTGAGATTTCATGTTCCCTTGAACAGCACAGTTTGAAACAGGAATTGTTTATTCGTGGGATTTTCCATTTAATATTTCCAGACCACATTTGATCACAGGTAACCGAAACCACGGAAGGCAAAACCATGGATAAGGAGGGGCTACTCTAATTCACAATGTGAATAAGCCCTACTGATTTAGGGGAGACTAGGTTTTACTGGGAGGTGGTGTATTTTGCTGCAGTTGGGATGGGAGGTTAATCTCTGCTATTAGCCTCACAATAGCATCAAACATAGCCAGGCTGATTCAGACCAACCAGTCTGAGCTTGAGTTGATCTGGTCCTGAACTCTTAGGAGCAAAGCCTCTAGTCTTCTAGCCCTTTACATGAATAAGCCCTACCATGACTAGGCAAGATTGGTGGCTGCCCTTGCTTATGGGAGGGGAATCCTTCAAGGCAGCTGTAATCCGAGTTTGGATTGTGGAAGCCTATCTAGCTATCTCTTCCCTGGTTTAGAAGGGTGGAACTTGGCAGCATTTGAGCGGAGGTGGCTTTCAGGGCCAGAGGAAATGGAGGGAAAATGCTTTCATAGACTATGGCTGAAAGGCTATTAAAAACCACTTCATCTCATTAAAATTTGTCATTTTATAGATGAGGAAACTGGGGTCTAGAAGAGAGAAATTGCTGAGACTGGCCATTGATTCTGGAGCCTCAGTTGACCCTATTTCTATCTCATTAGAAGGCTTATTTTTGTTGTTGTTCTTCCTTCACTCTTCTGCACACCGAGGGGAGCTTGAGCGCAGTGTCCTCATGCCGAGTCAGTATGATTCCTAAATTTTGTAACAGGCTTGCCTCCGATTTTGTCAGTGCGTAAAGCAGTCCCATCGCTAAACCGAGAGCAGGCGGCTGTAGAGGAACCCTAAAGCGGGAGCTTGGAAAAGGGGTGGGGCATCCTGAGACGTGCTCAGTTTGTTCAGGGAGGGGCAGTCCAAGAGATACGCTCAGGCGGAGTCCCGCCCAGTAGCGCAATTACACCGCCTTAGGAGGCGGATGAAGGGAGGGCGCAAGGGGCTAAAGGTGGTACCTTGTGCCCATTTGTTTCTTCCTAGATCTGAAGAGACTGTGTTTCAGAAATGCACGACGCATTTGCTCTCGGCAAATGGGATAATGCTCAGCTGACTCTCTTGCAGACGCCCCATCCAGGAACTGTCTAAGGGTTTGGGAACCACAGTTCGGAAAAGGAGTTATAGAAGTGTACATGGCCTTCAAGGTGTGCTGTCGCGCCCAGCCGCGCGGAGTCCCACGCGGCCTCGCCCCTGTCGCCCCGCCCCGCCCCGCCCGTGACGAGCGTGCGCGGGGCCTCTGCCCCATCCCCGCCCGCTCGGTACCCCCCGCGCTACAGCCGCCGTTCCCCGCCCCCGCGCATCGGGGGCTGGCCTCGTCACTGCCTGACCCGAGGTCCTGCAGGTTCTACCTTTCTCCGGCCCCTGCTGACGGATCGAGGTAGCCCACCGAGGGGACGGGGGTGTTGTCGATCCCCGTGGCCGTTCCGGAGCAGGTCGTAATGGGCCGCGGGAGGCGCTGCGGGAACAGGCGCCGTGGAGAGCCCCCGCAACAGAGGCGGGGTCCTGGAGGGGGGGAGGACGGGGTTGCGGCGGGCGGAACGGTGTCTCCTTCACTTCGCCCTCCAGTTGCGGCAGCCGCAGCCGGACCCCGAGCGTGCTGAACTGCGGCGACGGACCCCCTCAGGAGACCACTAGGTACCGCCGCGCCCGTCTCTGTGCGACCTAGCGGGCCTAGGCCCCGGCCACCAAAGAGAAAGCCTGTGCAGGGCTCGGGGTCGGCCCTGGCTCCCTAAGATGGCCGCGCTGCCCCGCGGCCCCTCGCCCCTCTCTGTCTGAAAATCCCTTTTGGCTCCCTAATCCCCCTTCTTACTCCTGCTGACCGCACTTCTTGTCCTTCTCGCAGATCACCTTTTCCCGCGGCCTCGCCATGGCAACCTACGGACAGAGCTGCGCTCGGCGTAAGTAGAGTAGGATCTGCGGGCTGGGGCGGTGGAGTCTCGGGAGTCGAAGCCTTTCGACCCGATAACTGCAACTTCTTATCGCGCTTCCCCCTCCCCCCCATCCTTCTAAGGGCTTGGAAATTTGCCCTTTTCGGTAGCCTCGCCACCCGTCTTGACTCCGGGGCTTTGCGGAAGACGGGCTGGGTTGCTTGATTTCGGAAAAAGGGACTAGACGAGGGGATTCGGTCTGTAGCTGCATTCACCTTCAGCTTTTGGACACGCCTTTGACGAACTCAAATGCAAAAAGTTACTAGTTGTGGGATTCGGTTTTTGGAGGATTGGATCAGTCACTTTTCTAGAGGAAGTAGTAACTACCCTGTGAGACCGCAAGGTCGTCACACGTGCTCCTAAGGGCGTGGACACACTTTGCAGAATGAATGAGCCCGTGATAGGAACTCGGATTGCTTGCTCTTAAACCGCATAGCATTGGCTGAGGACTTAAGTAGTATATTAATATGTTTCAAGTGCCATTTGGTATTTAATTGATGTAGACATTTCAGTGGAACATAGATTGCCATGTTTTAAATTCCAGTTTTTAAATTCCCAAAGAATTGCGTATCTTTCTCTTCCCACTTCAGAATGTTTGTTTTGACCTCAGTGAGGATACTAAGGGATATATTAGGGAGAGGACCTTGTCTTAAGTTTTGATTTTATCTCATTTGGTTAAATCAGCCCATTCCAGTGAATTTTGGCTGGTACAGCTATAAAAATAGATGTATATGTGGATGTGTGTGTTCTGGCCGGGTCTGAGGAGGTGAGGGAACAGAAAGTCTGTTTTTCTATTTTGGCAGGAATTTCCCACTTTGTATAGTCACATACTGGAGTTAATCCACTTAGAAATAAGCCTTTGTTGGTGATCTCTCCTTCATGGATCCTTACAGTACAGTTTTATTGTAACTTTAGGTGGTATCAGAAACAACAAATTGGACTGCTTGAATTTATCTGTTTTTCTTTTTTATTTTATTTATTCGTTTTTTATTGGACTGCTTGAATTTAAAGATAGCAAGATAGCAGTGGGTCATCATCTAGTTCTTGGACAGAAAGTGGAGAACAGGAACATTAACATTGGAATGTTTCCTCCCACCAGCAATGTGTATCCCTCCATCATATGCGGACCTTGGCAAAGCTGCCAGAGATATTTTCAACAAAGGATTTGGTAAGAACTTTTTAAAAAAAATTTTAGATCAGAAGTGAAAATGTGTGTTTGGATTGCTTAGTGAAATTACTAATTTTTTTCTAATTTTAAATATCTTGTTGCACTAATTCTATTGGATACATTTTAGATAAAATTTGTTACAATAATTCTGTAATAGTGCACATAATCCTCCATCCCAGTTTCCTTCAGTATTTTCAAATTGTATTTCAAGGATTTTACCTTAAAAATTTGTGCTTTTATTTCCTTCAGATATACTTTAGGCTTTGGTTGACTGGGATTATTATTGTTATTATCACTATTATATATTATTGTTTTTGCTTTTGTGGAGGTGACCCCCACCTGATTTGGGCTTTTTCAAGTGAATTTGACTTTTTAAGGATTTGGGTCCATGCACACACAGACCCCCTCCCCACTTTCTATGTTAGATTATTCTCTCAATTATTTAGATTATTAATCCCAAGGGGGAGATAACTCCTTTGGGGTAAGTATTCTTAATGTTTATCATAATAAAACTGTGGCCATTCTGAAATTTAAATTGATTCTCTGATGTTAGGTTTGAAAGTGGTTTGAAAGTTTTTTTGGTTTTGGTATCAGATGATACACTAAAACACTAGGCAAAGCTGCATAAATGTTTTATTCTTTACATGTCAGTTTAGCATAGAATAATTGAAAATTTTTTCCTTAAGTACTACATTTTAACATACATATTTATCTCTCTGAGCAACATGTAAATGCTTGATTTTTTTTTTTTTTAAATATGTAGTCAACTGTTGGTATGCATTTTTTACACAAGAGTCATTTTGTTATAATTTGTTTTCTAAGGTTTTGGGTTGGTGAAACTGGACGTGAAAACAAAATCGTGCAGTGGCGTGGTGAGTGTTAAATGTCTAATAAGTTCTGATGAACCTTCATGTAACTGTACCCATAAATGTTCAAAACAGAAATGTCTACTGATTTTATTGTGAAGAAAACGTAGAAGTTAATTTTAAGGGATTTGCATGTAACTTGATGCATTTTGACTTTGTTCCTTTTTCATGTGGTCTTTTGCCATATTACTGTATATGCACAAGGAACTCCATGAAGACTGCTCATGAGGGACTCAGTAAGATTATATGCTTGAAGGCAGAAACCTGTTAAACTTTTTCATAACCCTTTCTTTCAATGCCTGTTAACAGCATTAGGAATTCTGGGCATAAAAGTATTCAGTAACTCTTTTTTTTTTAAATCCTCACCCAAGGACATGTTTGATTTTAGAGAGGAAGGATGGGGCCGGTGCGGGGAGAGAGAAAAGAGGGAAACACAGATATGAGAAACATGGATTGGTTACTTCCTGTACATGCCTTGAGTGGGGATCGAACCCGTAGCCCTTTGGTGTATAGGATGATGCTTCATCTAACTGAGCCACGTGGCCAGGGCTGGTATTCAGTAACTCTTAATTTGAGTGTACTAATCATTTATATAATGGCAGCATTCTAGCAGCCCTCCTTGGGGAAAATTTCCATACGTATTTTGTGAATTTAGAGAATCTTGATTTGAGTATTTTTAAAGAGGTTAGTATTCTTGGTATTTGGTGTCTTGATTCTGCCTAACTCCCTCAAAGAGAGTAAAGTAAAATTTAATTTTGTTTGATTTTTTTTCCCTCCCTTTAAAATTTTTGTTTTGAGATTGTTTGAGGAATGGGTGTAGTGTGTGCATATTGAATATTATTGGTCATTTTGGTAAGTTCTTGCTGTAGCTGTTAATTCCGTCAGTGCATGTAACTTATTAAAATTATGTTCTAGTTTAATGGCTAGACTTGGGTTTCTGGGGTTTTGTATTTGTCAAGTATGTCATTTGGTTTCTTTAACCTGAAAAGCCTGAATATTCCTTGTGGTTGGGTGACTTAATGGTTTATTGTGACAGGTTTCAGAGCACCATCTTAGTGCTTATTTATTTATTTTTAAAGATTTTATTTATTTACTTTTAGAGAGAGGGAAAGGGAGGGAGGGAAGGAAGAGAAATGGCAGTGTGGGAGAGATACATCAATCAGTTTCCTCTCTCGTGCCCCTATGGGCCACAACCCCAGGCATGTGCCCTAACTGGGAATTGAACCGGTGACCATTTTGTTCTCAGGATGATGCCCAACCAGCTGAGCCACACCAGCCAGGGCCACTAAGTGCTTATTTTTTTGTGTTCCCGCTCTTAATCTGTTGAGGCCCCTCAGTAAACACTTGGTGTGTGTTTGTTGAAACACAAAAGTCCTCTTAAAAGAAAAGTAAAGACACAGTCCTGTGTTTAAAAAGCTTATTTGCGGGTTGGAGAGAGAAACTAAACCTTAAATTGGGGAAGAATTAGAGAAGTATTCTAGTACGGGATAGTTTAATATATCAAAGTCTTTGTTGGAAAGGAAGAGATTATTGTGGATATGGTTAAGGAAAGTTTTATGAATTTAGGTTTAAGATCATGAAGAATGTATAGGATCTGGATTATATATGTATGTTTTTGTTTCTTTTTAATGTATATAACTCAACAAGTGTGATACTGATCTTGTAATATGTACCTGGCCCTAAATAAATTCCATTAATGGCTGGTTCTGTTTTCTCACCTGAACTGCAGAGATGTTCAGGCCACCCCAGAATGTAGAAGCCTAGATGTCTCGTGATGAAGTGAAGGGTCTAAGCTCCTCCAGTGGTGTCATCTGGCCCAGTTTTGGTCCCGTGGTGTGGTCTTCTTGGTTTTCTGTCTTGAGGATTCCTTGGCATGTATATAGGCTAGCTCTTAACCTATGAATTGATGGATGGTAGTGGGTGGGGCCTTAAGAATCATTAATCATCGTTACTCAGGAAAAAAAATAGCTACTTGTGTATATTCCCCATTCCAAGAATCTGTTAGAACAACATGCTCCATATAGTTTTATTAATGCTTTCCTTTTGTGTAGAGCACATGAAAATGTGCAGCCTTCACAGTATCAGTCCAGTTTAATCCTCTACAGATAGATTTTGTTGTCAGTAATTGAGGAAACTTAGTTCCAGAAAAGTTAAAAGTTTCTTCCTCAATGTTACTCATTTAGTAAACGACAATTGGATGTCAGGACTCCTAATTTTACATCCAGTGTTCTTTAGTGTGGGCTTTGAGCACCAACCTTTGACTTGAAATTCCTGTTAATGAAAACATTTAATTTCAGGAGATTGTGTACAACACCTAAAGCTTTTGAGTCCTTTTCACTGCAGAGTAATAGTTATGCAAATACTCTGTTTTCTAAGTGAAAGGTGATTGGCCTTTTCTGTTATTTGCACAGTTTTTGATATTTCCTCACTTTTGCAGGTATCACAATTTCAGGTAGAAGTTCTCTTAGTAGTTGAGATCAGCTGTCTTTAGATTTGGCTTTCCAGTGGCCAAAGCATATAAACATTATTAGCAGACAAATGGTGAATCAAAATCCTCAGAAGGCTTTTTAATATTTTATCTTGGAAGATTTCAATTGCCTGCCTGTATACTGAGCTCTGAAAGATTATTAGATTTCTGGATTATCTGTATGGCAGAATTTACATTTCAGATAAGTCTTCTTCCATATTATGCCTTCCTTAGTTGGTGTGCAATTATGGATTTTCAAGTTCTTTATATTTGCTACAAATTTAAGATTATATAATAATGCACTTCAAATTGATCCTTGTATATAGATTATTTTTCTACTGATACCGTTATATATGCTGTAGTTTATATTATGCATGATATAAACCAATTGTAGAGTAAATCTGTAATTACTCTCCCCCCCTTTATTTTTAGACAAAGAGGGAGGGAAGGAGAAAGAGGGAAACATAAATGTGTAGTTGCCTCTCGCACATCCCCAACTAGGGACCTGGCCTGCAACTCAACCATGTGCCCTGACTGGGAATTGAACCAGCAGCCCTTTGGTTCTTAGGTTAGCACTCAGTCCACTGAGCCACAAGAGTCAGGTCCTTTTCCCCCTTTTTTAATGAGGCTGTGAAAGATGTTTGGAAAGGCATGAAACCTGGTGAAGATCCTTTTTGTCTCACAGAAACAGAGTTTTGGGATTACCTAAGAATTTAGAAAAAAAAATCATTTGTTCATGGCATGAATTCCTATAGTGGGATACTTTCCCTTCAGGTATTTCAGGAAACATTTCGTAATAAATAGAATAAGTTGTTATAAACTTTGATTGTAATGATGTCATATGTGATAACCGTAGTGACTTACTGTTCTATTCATTATCAGATTGGATGCAGTGCCAAAACATTCATCACCCCCTCCACAATGATTTTTGAATCCCAAATAAAATTACCTCATAAGTTTCCTTGAAAGGGGTACAGTTCACTTGAGAATTAGATACAGATTAACTTGTGATTAGTTGGAAATGCCAGCTGTAAGGTGGCAGTTAGTAATTTACAGGTGAATTTTTCACTCATATATATTTGGGAAGGTAGAGAGAAAGGATTAGGTGAAGTTACTAAGTGTTTCAGTGGGTTGTGGGTGTTTTTTTGGCGTGTGTAAATTAGATTCTTAAATGCTTGTGGGAAAGTTCATGAAGTTATTTATTGTCTTAATAGGAATTCTCAACATCTGGTTCATCTAATACAGACACTGGTAAAGTTACTGGGACCTTGGAGACGAAATATAAATGGTGTGAGTATGGTCTGACTTTCACAGAGAAATGGAACACTGATAACACTCTGGGAACAGAAATCGCAATTGAAGACCAGGTAACATTTTGACAATGTGCTTTAGTATTAATTATTTTATTTTTGTATTTCAAAAAGGAAATAAAGCTGCAAACATTCTTTTTCTTTGAACATAGATATGTCAAGGTTTGAAACTGACATTTGACACCACCTTTTCACCAAACACAGGGTAAGCATGGACATTTTTACCCACTTTAAATTTAAAAGCATTTCTCCTCTATGTTTAGTAAGGATGTATATTTATACTTATTTTCCTTTTTATTTAATTTATTGGGTGACATTGGTTAACAAAATCATAGGTTTCAGGTGCACAGTTCCACAACACATTATCTGTGCACTGTAGTGTATGTTCGCCACCCCAAAGGAAAGGTCTGTATTTACTGCTTGATAGCTTACCTGGATGCCTTGTGGCAAATTTCTGTTTGTGCCTTTGAAGTATGAACACTATGGCTTCTGTCATTGGCTTGCCCTCAGATATTTGCCTCTTTTCGTTGTGGCACTAACTTGGGTAATTAATATGTTTTGAATATGCTTTTGGACTGCGCATTATGCAGAGCGGCCTTCTGTTAGCCTTCCTGTGGCAGTCTTCTCTGGCATTCTAGGTACCCCATGTGCCCTTGTCTTGTAGTTTGTGACATGTATATGTATATATTTTTAAACTTATGAATGTCCTGGTACTTTTAAAAAAATTATTATTTATTTTTAATTTTTTTCCCCTTACCATGTATCTTCGTCTGTTTTTTACTCTAGTTATACTGCAGTTTATTTAGGTCTGTTTTGTGCCCTCTGTATAGCAGTTATGTAAATTTTTCCCACTGGCATCAGTTTTAAGTCAGTTTGTTCTTTTTCCAGAAAGAAAAGTGGTAAAATCAAGTCTTCTTACAAGAGGGAATGTATAAACCTTGGTTGCGATGTTGACTTTGATTTTGCTGGACCTGCAATCCATGGTTCAGCTGTCTTTGGTTATGAGGGCTGGCTTGCTGGATACCAGATGACCTTTGACAGTGCCAAATCAAAGCTGACAAGGAATAACTTTGCAGTGGGCTACAGGACTGGGGACTTCCAGCTACACACTAATGTGTGAGTATTTCTTTTGTGGGATATTATGATGTAGGGCATCAGGATGATATTGATGTCTCTTGTCATTTTTAAATGTAGGTTAAACCTAAAGAATTTCTCTTAATATAAAAAGATCATCCTTGAGCATTTCTAGGATGCCCATCAAAAGTGCGTAGTTAAAAATGTTAGTCTGACTTTTGGTGCTGACAGAATAAATGTTCATTTCATATGAGGGCTTGGTGTGCTTTGTATTTCTTGAGTAGGCTAAGACAATGCCAGATTCTACCAGTGTCTTAATTTGACTTTTTTGTGATGTTTGAGGTCTTGATTAGAAAGGATTTCCTAAAACGTATGGTGTTTTTAACCTAACCCAAGTTAGATATATATGTCAGAAGGACTGAAAAAGAATTTTTTCCCTTATAAAATAATGCATTTGTAAATAATAAAGAAAACAAGATTTTCCATAATCCTACTATGTAGGTGTATAATCCATGTAGGTGTATAATCTTTGTTAATTGTTAATGTTTTGGCATTTTACATTTTTATATATGTATATATGTAAAATATATACTGAAAAGACTTTTATAACCCTTTTCGCCCTTGATACATTTTGATAATTTTCCTATAGCATTATGTATTCTACAGCATGATTGTTGGTGGCTGATAATGCCACTGGATGGATGTGGCATGATTTGACCAATCCTTGTTTTTGGACATAGGTTGGCAAAAGACCTTTTATTTTTTACTTATTTTATAGATTTTATTTTTTATTTATATATTTTCAGAGAGAGGGAAGGGAGGGAGAAAGAGGGGAGAAACATCAATGTTTGGTTGCCTCTTGTGTACCCTCTACTGGGGACCTGGCCCACAACCCAGGCATGTGCCCTGACTGGGAATCGAACTGGCGACCCTTTGGTTTGCAGGCTGGCGCTCAGTCCACTGAGCCACACCATCCAGGGCAATGTAAAAGACGTTTTAAAATGAGAATTTTCAGTGAACAGAAGAGACCCATGTGAGCAACAGCTTTTATTTAAATGTAATGCTACTATAATATCAACCTAGTGCCTTAGACATACCTACATTGTCTCTTCTTGATTTATTTTAAAATATAGGAATGATGGGACAGAATTTGGAGGCTCAATTTATCAGAAAGTATGTGAAGATCTTGACACTTCAGTAAACCTTGCTTGGACATCAGGTACCAACTGCACTCGCTTTGGCATTGCAGCTAAATATCAGTTGGATCCCACTGCATCCATTTCTGTGAGTACTACTATGGGCTTAGAATAAATGGCTTTTGGGTTGTGGGAATTAATCTTTGGGTATATTATGTTGAGAGTGTGAACTGTGGTTCACACTATCCCCAGTTTACACACAGATTGGATTAGAATTTTGAGTACTACTTTTTAAAAAAGATGGAGACAGTGTTAGAAGTTTGGTATCCAGGCCACAGGAGTCTAGCCCCAAAAGCATATATATAGTAACCCTGAGCCCTAAGCCATCTAAGCTCAAGGAAGCCAGTGTTTTGGGTCCTGGGCAGTTCTTGGGAGTAATTCCTGCTGGGGTATAAGTACTTCAGCTGATACTTGACTTTGTATTTTTATGATTTATAAAATATATCCAGGTATGTTCTCAGTGTTCAGTGGTATACATGCCATTTTGCAGTTTAAGAAACCAAAACTTGGAGAAAGGACAGACTTAAACTGCTACTAGGGAAGGAGAGTAGGGAGGAGGAGAGCCAGGACTGGACTGCATGTCTTTTGATTTCCTTCCTGTCTAGGGTGAGCAGCTAGCTCGTAGCTCCTTTTGTTTTACCTGGGCCTCTCCTAGCTTTAGCACTGGATAGTCCTGCATACCAGGGAAATCTTCCCCTACCCCCGCCCCGGGTTAGCTGGGTCAGATGGCCACCTGGGTCCTGTCCTTAGGCTCTTTCTTCCTTCAGTCCTAGTGGGTTGGGGTAGGAAAGAGTGTGGTATCTCAGGGTGTAGAGGGGCTGGCTCCAATTTCAGGCCGATCAGCAGCTGTTCCTGTGTGTCACTTGTTTACAGGTCAGGGACTGCCTGTACCCAGTGTACTGGGGATGAAAGAAAGTTAAACCTTCCATGAGAATTATTTGTTACACGAAGTGATACTCACTCCTGAGGATGGTGTTTTGATAATTTATGCAGTTAAGTTTTAGCTCCATTTTTGTTTTACCTTAGCAGAGTTGTAATGAGAGAATGAGAAGCACCCAGAGTCCTTTTCTCATTGGGAAGGCAGTGATTCATTTATTTTTCCAGTTTCTAACTCCACCATAGTAGTAAAAACCTCAGGATTCATACAGTGCAGTGTAGCTACATTGTTATTCTTTTCCAATGTATGTTTATGGCACCATTGCATATTTAAAGCCAGTAGAAGATGCTGCTCTCTTATAGTCTAAAATGAGAAGGGAATTTTGGGACCTGTGTGTCATTGAGTGATTCCTGGGGATTATTTGGAAATCTTTCTAGCATTTCACACCTGAGTGGTGCTGCTGTTGCCCCATTCAGGCGTCACCTGAAGCATTGCTTAATACCACATCACAATTTCATGGTTTGCTTCTAAGGTAGTGGGAACTTGTATTTTTGTGAGGCTCTTAGATTTGTTGGGCACAAGATGGTCACTGTGGTGCATTTCTTTCTGAGACAAATAACTCACATGGTCATTGGTGGCTCATGAAGACTTGGCTGTAGTGCCAGCTGAATATAAGGGCAGTTTATGTGACTTTTGCTTGTATAGTTACATCATTTCTTTCTCTAGATTGGGCTGTTTTGATGTTATACTTTGTAAAAGAGTGTAGACATCAGATCATTTCCAAGTCTGTTTGGAAGTCAGGCTGTTCGTTAACTTTTTACCATAGCATTCAAAATGTTGAAGAGCAACCTAGGCCCTGGAGATGGCGTGATGTTAGTAGGAGAGAATGGAGCTGCTCCTTACTGTGTCTTGTTCTCCTTTCAGCCGTTGAAGGTCTGTGACTAAATTCTGAAAGAATAGAATTGTGCAAGGTAATGGGATTGGTAATGACGTGCTCCATTGGAACATTTTCTCAGGTGCAGTCTAGTTATGTACAGCCAAGACCCGGAGGCGTTAATGAGAGGTGTGAGAATGTGAGGAAAGGACTTAGTTTTATTCTTGGAGGAAGTACTTGTCATTTGGAGATTTTGAACATTGATGGTTTTGATTATTTAGGATGACCCCTGAAAGGAATGTGTGTGTCAAAGTCATGAACTTAGACTTCACATCCCCCACTCTTTGAGGCTGCGTGTGTCACCTAACTAGTGAGCCCGGTGGACTTCCCTTGGCTGCATTTTGGTGTGGTTTTGTTGTGCTAGATTAGACTCAACAAGGATGATTTCTTATGAGAGTGCTTATTTGGGCTCTTGTGCTATGTCGACAATATGGGGATCTTCCAGTAGATACCATGAATATTCTGTCCTACTGACAATTTGATTTTGAGTTTAATGGACAAAAATTAAGCCGTGTCTGGGGAGCTCAGTTTATTAAAGCGTTGTCCTGACGCCAGGGTTGTGGGTTTGATACCCAGTCAGGGCACATATAAGAATCAATCAATGAATGCATAAATAAATGGAACAACAAATCGATATTTTTCTCTTTCCTTCTCTTTCTCTCCCTCCCTCTCTCTCTAAAATCAGTCAACCAATTAAAAAAGAATTTAAGTGGCACCTGGTTTTTGTTTGGCCTAATAACAATATTACATTTTTGTGTGAATAAAAAGGCTGAACACTTCATAATTGCGTGATAGGGAAACATGTAGGGGCTTTTCTCCTATCAAAAATTTTTCTTAAAGGTTTTTGCATTTTATTTTAGGCAAAAGTCAACAACTCTAGTTTAATTGGAGTGGGCTACACTCAGACTCTGAGGCCTGGTAAGTATTCTTGATAAAGTAGGATGTTTTTGATAGTGTTTTAAAAATCAGTTTCCATTTCTTGTTTTGCAAACCTTTCAAGCATGCAGAATTGACAGGCAAGTACAGTGAACACATGTTTACTTATGGCCAAAATTTTGTATTTCTTTTTTTTTCCTTTTTTATTTGCTGGGCTGTTTGGTAGCTGTCATGACACTTCCCTAAATGCTTAAGCATGTCTCTCCTGAGAACATTCTCCTGTTCTGCATAACTCAGTGCCACGATCACACCTCAGGAAATTAACAGTGATGCTATATTATTATTTACTATTTCTTCTCTATTCAGTTCCATCACTAGTACCTGAAATGTCTTACAGTAATTTATATTTCTTCAGAGTTCACACATTACTTTGTTTTTTTATTCTCTGTAATCTTACTTAACATTATTTTGAGCCTTGCTTTGTTTTCTAGAGCCATACTTCTCAAACTTCAGTGTGTGCATGAATCATCCAGGGAATCTTATTAAAAGGCAAATTCTGTTCTTAAAGGTCTGGGATGAGGAATTCTGTCCTTCTAACAAGCTCTTGGGTGATTACAGTGTTCCTGGTTCTTGAACCACCATTTGTGTAGTAAGGTTCCAAGGCACTTGGAACTTTTGCCTCCTCCAAATCGGGATTTTTACTCAGACATTTTATTTTGACTGTTGAAACCTAAAGACAAGAACACTACCATGAACATCCATATGCCCTTCCCCACATTCACCAATTATAACATTTACCACATTTATTTTCTCTTTCCGTGCTTGTATATATAATCCTTTTTTTCACATGCCCTTATGAAATACTTAAATGTATGTTTTACAGACATGTAGATACATCAGCCCTAGCATGGATATGCTAAGAGTAAGACATTTTTCTTCATATATAGTAGCATGATCATAGCTAGGAAAATGGACATCAATAATGCCTAGGATGTATATGCCTGTTCGTATTTCTCCACTTGTCCCAAAAAATGTTTTAGTTTTTCCTTTCCACAATTAATTATGATTGTCTGATAGTATGTTGAACTTTATTGTATTTTCTAGAGCACTTTGAACTTGATTATTAACATTTTTGTGCTCTGTGACTCAGTGCCTTCATGGTGCCAACAAAATTCTGGCATCTCAGATACTCTCAAGTGCCCTCTGGTGGCTGGCACTAATAGGTCATCTGACAGGCGGAGGAAAAGTGACAAGCAAGCTCTGGAGTTAGTGAGGCTGCAGACCCTCATGTGATGTTTCATGCACATCATGGTTGTCTGCTTTTATTTGCAGGTGTGAAGCTTACACTGTCTGCTCTGGTAGATGGGAAGAGCATTAATGCTGGAGGCCACAAACTTGGGCTTGCCCTGGAGTTGGAGGCTTAATCCAGCTGAAAGAAACCTCGGGGAATGGATATCAGAAGACTTGGCCTTAATATATTTCCAGTGTGACCAGCAGGCTTTTTTTCCCTCCAAGAAGGTGATCAAAACAAAGGATGAGCTAAACAAGAGCTGTGTTTTCAATATTTAGACAGTTACTTGTTAGCTGGTTTCTAGTTGAATTGGTTGTCTATCTAGTTACCAGTGCTGCAGTCGTGCAGTCACCCGTACATTATTTAAATGTATTTAACTGTTAAATGAGCTACCCACCAATAATGAAATAGACCTTTATGAAAACTGTGCAATTGTGTGCATGTTTGTTTTTATGTTTCTTTTAACATTGAATATTGCCATTGAATGAAATGGATCAGTGGATTTAAGATGAGGTTAAAATTTTTTTTGTTAAATAGCAACCATTAGAATCAACTTTTGGTATCCTAAAACATGACAAATTATGAATAAAACAAGTATACATAATTAATGACTCCAAGTATTTGCAGAATTAAAAATTTGCTAGCTGGGGTCAAATCTCTCTTGATATCTAGCTAATAATTAATTTTTTTCTGGTGAGCATTTTGCTCTTTACCAAAACCTGTGCCACAAACTCCTCTGTGTTCTTAACTTTGTGAGCTTTGTAGAGTACAATAAAATAGAGGATATATGGCTTTATATCTTTAGCTTGAAAGTTTGCACAATTAATGTTGGATCATTGTTGACTCCAGGAAGGATTGGAAAATAAGTGATGAAGGGTGGTGCTGAAAAGTTATATACATATACCATACCCCTGTGAGCTATTGCTATGGAAATGAACCAGTTAGGTGGGATGAGACTCGGTGCAGGGAAATGAAGTAAGGTGTAGACCGTATCCAGATCCAGAGGGACTGTGAGGGGAGCATTTGGGCCCAGTGAGAGGTCATTACTTATTTTCCTGACTGAAAAGCTTGGGCCTGAGTTTGGGATCAGAGGCAGTGCCTTCAGTCTATATGGCCATTGACCTTCATCTGGATTTGGGCTGATTGATAGAAATTAATAGGTAATTTTGGTTAGAAAAGTAGGAAAGAACAAGCTTTTTGATGGGAGAATTAGTTTGAAGGATGGGAACAAAGTTAGAGAAGGGGAAGATTTGTTCTACAAATTCATAATACAGACCTGAAGTACAGTTTGAAGCCTGATAGAGAACCGATTAAAGTGTAGTACTGTGAGACTCATTACCCAAACAGTGATAGATAACTTGTTGAAAATTTCCTGGTCAAGAAAAATGTGATGAGAAATTAGAAGCCTAAGTAAGCTCTCCACACACATGTCTTGGAGGGTACAAAGACTCCTCTGGTCTCATATTTTGTCCTAAGGGGCTGGCTGGAATGATCCATGTGAATCACACATATGACTTAATGGCAGAAAGTTGGAATTTGAACAAATTTATTTGAGTCAGCACCTGTTGCTAGGAAGGAAAAAGGAAACGATGTCTGTGAAAGCACCTCTTGTGCTTTTGGGATACCTAGGTATGAAGTAGACCAGCAGAGTCTCAAACTGCTGGTGGGGCTCAGGTGGGGAGGAAACCTGGTTACTGGGCCTGGAAGTAGCTGAAGCCCTCTGGATGGTCTGCTGCCCCTTAGCTAACTGGTGGCCCGCCCTCATGCTGTGGCAAGAGTTCACCCGGTCCAGTACTCTGGCTCTGGACTAGGGTGTAAGCATATGTTGTGAAGTGTGCCACAAATGAGTTTGTCAAGGATCTACCTAGAAAAATTGTACCTATCTACTCATGTGCATCCTAATGTGCTTTTATGAGTGCAGGAGAGAAGGGTAGGTTTACAGCCAGAGGCCCAAGCATTGTCTAAAATACTGGGTTGACCAAAAAGTCCATTTAGTTTTTTCCATAAAATAAAAGACATGTTTTTCCTTTTTTTAAGATTTTACTAATTTCTAGAGGGGAAGGGAGGGGAGGTGGGGCGCCTCTCATGCGCCCCCAAGTGGGGACCTGGCCCGCAACCCAGGCATGTGCCCTGACTGGAAATGGAACCAGTGACTCTGGTTTGCAGGCCAGCACTCAGTCCACTGAGCCACATCAGCCAGGGCCTAAAAGATACATTTTTCTTTTTCACCAATAACTTTATTGATTTGGGTATTTAGAGTATGTTGGTTATTTTCTGCCATTGTCTTCTAGTGGGTGGAGGCCAAGGGTGCTGCTAAACTTCTTCCAATGTATAAGACAGCCCCACAGCAAAGAGTTAACTGTATTTGGCCAAAATGTCATTAGTACCAAGAAACTTCTCAAACCACATTTGACATATTTGATCAGTTACAACACCTTCTCCATACACTGCACAAATCTTTTGCGTTTCAGTTGCATTTTTACCTTCCTTGAAATAATAAAGCATAATGTGTCAAAAATGTTGCATATTTTCTTCCATCTTAATATTAAAATGGCTGCACAAAAATTCACCAATTTTGGTAAGTTTTAATGCATGCTGATATGACAGCTGTCACAATACAATTTAACAAAATTGTTTTGAATGAAGTTAAAGACAGCTTACACACTACTAGAGCCATTGTACAGAAAAAAAATAAATGAACTTCTAGGCCAATCTAATATAAGGTATATCCGGGACCTGTAGGATTATGCCAGTTGCCACCTATGGGCTCAAGTCGCTCTTAACTCCTAGCAGCCTCCACCATCCAGGCATAACCAGGTGGTAGCAAAACCTGGTTGTATTATAGGCTGATGATGTTTCTGCCTGAGACATGGACATCTTCCTGTAGGATTTGGGGAGGCTTTAAACAGAAGAGTTAAAAGCACCCGGCCCCCTCTTGACCTCCACTCATATGTTGGTGTTGTAAAGTCTAACTTTTTCTCTGGGGTACTTGTTAAAAATTGCCATGCTAATTCCTACTTACAGGCCTGTCGGTTTCACACCTCTGGCCAGTGAGCCCACCCAGTCCCTCGCCTTAAGGAGGACAGGATGTATGTTTATGAGGACCTTGAGGTCCTCATGTCTATGTCAAGTGGCCTGGTTCACAGAAGTGAGGCTGAGTTGGCATTTACAAGAAAACATGGTTAACTGGCTGCTGAACTGACATAACGTATTCCCCTACAAGGCCTGTTGTCAGATCCCAGGTATGGCTTTCCCCCTAATTCCTGCTGTACTGGGACTGAAATTCATTTACTTGGCCCTCCTAGGAAGAGATGTAGGAGGCTAGACCAAAGTGGGCTTTACCCAGCACTTGGCTCTCAAGAGACTGTAGAGTAGGGGCAAACCTGTGGAGCTGGGTCTTCTGTCCAATTGCATGTGGCCAGGTCAATTAAAACTGTATCCTGCCTCCAGTCAGCTGGATGCCCCTGTGGTTGGGCCCCAGCCCTGGTGTCAGGTGGCCATCAGGACTGTGCCAGGGAGGGGATGAACCAGGCTCCCTTTTGCTCCAGAAACTGCCTGTGCTGGGCTTTCCCTCCCTACCCCCATTTCAGTGCTGTATGGAAAGCTCGTAAGATTGTGTCCAGGACCCACTTTATTGACAGACTTAAAACTCCAGGTCGATGGCTGGGGTTCCCAGGTCCCCTCCATCGAGGCCATCTCTAGGGGCCAGTCTTAGATTTTGAAGGCTAAGGTGAGGCCGTCGCCCAGGGGCAAGAGGCTGATGTGGACTCGGGCGTCCCGTAGGATGCGCTCGTTCAGGTTTCGCACGCACTCGGTTTCCAGGTCTCCCGGTTGGGGTTGCAACACTTTTCCTCGCCACAGGACCTGTGGAGGGTGGGGCATCACGGGGTCGGGGCCTCTAGGGGAGGTGCCTGAACCGGAGGCCGGGTGAGAACGGGAGACTGAAGACAAGCTGGTAAAGGCTTGGGGACTCAGCTTGAATACCTCGAGGGAGGAGCTCCTATGAATACTGGGTGGGGCTTTGGGACATGGGGGCGGGGTATGGGGAGGAGCCAAGGGGAAAGAGACTCCCAGCCCCAGAGGATCTTTCCTCCCTTTGGTCTATCCCTTACACTGAGGACAGCGAGGATGCCTCCTGGCCGCAGCAGCTGCAGGCATCGCTCGTAGTAGGCGGTGCAGTTCTTCTTGTCAGCGTCCACCACAGCTATGTCGAAGGTGCCAGCCTCACCCGCGTCAAGGAGCTCATCTTGCGGGGGAGGGATGGGCAGATGTGGCTGAGTCCGCAGGCCCAGTGGCTGGAAGCCCCTGCCCAGGCCAGTGCAGGCGTTGTGATCACTCAAGGACTCCGGCCTTGAGGACGCCAGCCCTGCCACCTTGCATGTGGCTGCATACCCTGAGACTGGGCAGTGAGGGTCTGTCATTGCCCCAAGCCCGTCCGCAGGACCCGGTCACTAGCTTACACCCGATGGCCCCATTTGGGATATGGCGCCAAGGCCTTTTCCACACGGTGCTCACCCAGGGTTTCCAGGGCGGGCTTCAACCGCAGGTCAATCTTGTGCTCCTCTTCAGCCTGAGGAAGGAGTGGGGTCAGAGCCAGCATGCCCCTTCTGCCAGAGCTGGGAGCGGAGTGGCTGGGCTCCGGGGGCCTGATGAAGAACACTCACCTGCTGCCACAGGGGCCGCCCCAGCTCCGGGGGCCCCGGGTTTATCTCGCAGGTCACCACACGCCCGGCCGGGGGCAGTGCCAGGGCCAATGCTAGGGCTGAGTAGCCTGTGAAAGTGCCTGGGAACAAGGACACGCATAGGCTCAGGCCACAGTGGGGAGAAGGCTGGTGACTTAGACACCCAGTGATCACGGTGCCCTACCCAGGTCCAGGGCCTTCTTTGCCTTAATAAGCCGCGCTAGGTTGGCCAGAAGCTGGGCCTGCTCACTCGTCATCATGGAATCTCCCTGCGGCTGCTCCAGAGTTAGCTGTGTGTGTGTTGGAAGGGGAGAGGGTCGCTCTAGCTCTGCCCGTCACCCACGCCAGCCCCAGGTTCAGGACTTCCCTGTGGGCGTGACTATGGGCGGGGCCTAGAGGAACGCCCTTCCCAGGGAACGCCCACCGCGCCCGGGCTGAGGAGCGCGGAAGCCCTGAGTGGGTCCCTGCCCAGCCCAAGGTCATGCAACCACGTGGGGTCCGCAGGGCCCGAGGTGGGCTCCAACTCCCGCCCTGGCCCTGCTGACCAGCCGCAGGCTCCGTAACGCCGGATGTTCCCGCAAGGAGCGGCTCAGCAGATACTGCCACAGGGGGCTTTCCTCAGGGGGCAGCAAGCGCTTCTCTCGCCTTGATCGCCATGGAGGGCACCATCTCCCTGCAGGGAGGGGTGCTGAGTCAGCGCCTGGGACTCCGGGGTGCCGGGGGTGAGCCTTGGTCGCAGCCAGCCTTGGGGATTCAAGGGCTGTGCTTCCGCGCCAGCCCTATCCGCGGGGCCTCTGCAGAGGGAGCTGCAGGCTAGTCCCTACTCACCCAGGAAAAGGCCGGTAGCGAAGGCCGCGCCCAGAGCGGCTGATCCCAGGGCCAGCGCGGCGGGCACAGAGAGCCGGGGCGTGGGCTGGATCATTGCGTGGACTGAAGGCGGCGGTGACGAGGTCACTGGCGCTGGGGGTACCAGGACCGCACTCGGACCCTCAGGCGTTTCTTGTTCCACCTTGTTTCAGCACTGCCCGCAGGGCTGCGGTCTCGAGCATCATCTGGCGGCCGCATGGCCTTACTGCAAATCCTGCCCGAGCGAGCTGGGTGCCATCTGGTGGCTGCGCTCTGAACTTCGCCGGGCGGGGGCCGAGACCTACAACTAGGGTCTGGGGACCTGGGTCAGGGAGAAAAATTTGATATGCTTCTTTCTCATCACTACCCTTTCTGCTGAGTCCCTCTGGAATTTACGTGGGAGGGCGAGAGGGCCGTCAGTGTAACAGGATGGTACCGAGTACAAAGTGATAGAAGTGAAAGTTCCTGAGAGGAACTGAGAGATTCAGAGGAGGCCTTTGGTGAGGTGACCAAGGGTGTAAGGTTGAAGGAGTGAAGAACCTTGTTTGGGGGTACACAACCAGATGTCAGTTGGGGAGCTGTTGGGCAGGTCAGGTTTAAGGGGCGCTGAGCTGTCCTTAGTTAAAATCCTGGGTGCCAAATGCACATGAGTGTGAGATCTTAGGCTCATCAGTCTCTTTAAGCCTCAGTTTCCTTTGTGAGAACAGGGACCATAGTCTTACTGCAAATGGCACCAGATCCCACAGCCTGGCACACAGTAGGTGCTCAATAAATGCCAGCAGCTAAGTTATAGGTTGGAGTGACGACATCTTAGGGGGGAAAAAGGTCGGAGGGCAGGCGAGACTACTTGCAGGCTGTTCTGTCCAGTTAGCACTGGTTAACACCTACTGTGTGCCTCTGGGAGAGGTAGAAGACGCTGTCCTAGCCTGTATTCTTAGTGAAGCTGTGTTCGGAGACCACAGGACATGTAAGAGTCCGTGAACAACCCCAGCCTCACAATTTCGTCTTCTGTAAAATGGGTTTTTAATAGTTCCCACCCCCTACGGGATGAAATGAGAAAATCCAGGTGAACGATTTACAGGGCCCAGCACTTAGTGGGTTACAACTGTTACATTTGAAAAGGAGTCGAAGTCAAAAGGGCAGAAGGTCACCTGGCTGCTGCTCTACTGCTCTTCCCTGGGGACAGCCCATTTAGTAACCACACTGGCTAGAGCTCCACTGGGGGCTTCCTAGGCGGAGTTCAGCTCTACTAAGGCCCAGAGGCAGGGTTGTTGGGGGAGGGAGAGGCGGTAAGTGAGAGAGCCGCTTGGCTGAGGCTGAATCCCAGCTTGAGCTGGAGGGAAACGGAGCTCGGGACTGACCAGCACTGCCGGCTGGACTCCTGGGCCTTGGGCAGGCGACGCAGTAGGAGGCCCCGTTCCGGGGCGGGGCTACTTAGCTCTGGGCACAGTCTCCAATCAGACACAGCGGGGGAACTGTGGTCCTCTGACCAATCAGCGGCGGCCCCCAGACCAGAGACGCGGGGGAGGAGCCTGCTGTCCTGAGGCTGGACCCGGGTGCTGGGTGTGGCCACGTCCTCCTCTCTATCACCAGGCGAGCGTCCCGCTCTGAAGAGAAGCCCCTTCCCCATTGATTGCATCCTGCTTGGCCCTCTGACCTGACTGCGAGCCTCATTCCCCAGGATAAGTACTGAGTCTGCTGGTCTCTCTTTCCTCAGAGCTCAGCACGCAGCAAGCGCTCAATAAATGCTCTCTGAATTGTGCGCTGGCGGTGCCTCGGGCTCCTTGCTGCCTGAACAGCCAGTCTAGACAGTAAAAATGGTAACAGTAGGAGGTCTTTTACTGAGTTCCAGGCGTCTCTGTGAGGCTGTGATATTATTCTCATTTTCCAGAGGAAGAAACCAAGCTCAGAGAGACCACTTCTCCACGCTTACTCCCCAGCCCCTGCTCCTGTTTTCTTAAACCCTCTGACCGCCTGGGCAGAGCGGGGGCACACCTAACTGCTGCTCTGACTCAGTGGGCCCCAGCTGGAACCACACTCACAAGAAGTGCTTTCCTGGCACCACTGATGGGGCCCCTCCACCAGGCCGGCCGACAGGCGGGCCCTGGGCCCAGTTGAGGCTGCAGGCCTCATTCTCCCCCGTCTGGGGTCCGGGTGTGGGCAGGCCCCCTTCTCACCGTAGAACCTCCTTTGCCAGCCTGACTTCAGTCTGGAGCCTGCAGAGGTGGGGGGACGGGCGGGGAGGGGAGGCATGTCACCATATATCCCTGTCAGATTAAAAAACTAATTTGAAAAGATTAATGTATTCCATTCTTGTTACGCTGGCTCTGATACCTCTGGGCCCGCGGCCGCTCTGCCTCCTGATTATTGAATTTTTATGGCCTGGTAATTAATTGCAGATTCCCTGTTTTGTTCTATTTCTTTTTCTCTGACATTTTAATTTCAACAAAAAGCAGTGGTCTCCATGCAGGTTCTCTCTGGAGATCCTAATGGTCTATAAAACAGAATGACTTATAGACGTGGCACCCACTTCAGTTGGCGAGCGATTGTTTGAAACCTTGCTGATCACGCAAAATTTAATTTTTCCACTTCCCTCCCCCATTTACTCCTCATTTCTTGTCTCTTCCATTGCAGTGCCAGCGTCTCAGCTCACAATGAAGGCAGCAAAGTGTCGCCTCCAAATCTGTTATTGTACCTTTCCCTATAAGGCCAAGAGTCTGAAGACAAAATAGATTTTGATTCTTTTCCTCAGAGGTGGCCCCCAGAAGTGAGGGGAGCTGGGCCTCCCCAAAGGGCCATGTGGATATGGGCAGCTGCCCCAGGGGAGGAGGGAGTATTGCTTCTATCTCTGTCAGTTGTTCTTTTGGCCAAATGCAGCTGCTCCATTAGGCATCAGGGAGCCTGCAGACTCAGGAAGACAGAGGAAATGAATAGGTGCCTGTATATTCCCTTAGGTTCACACCAGGAAGTCAGGAGTATGACCCCTGACCAATTCTTAGCCAAACCAGGTCACTGGGAATAGTTGTCCACAAAAAAAAAAAAAAAGAAAGAAAGAAAAGAAAGAAAGAAAAAAAAAAGAGAAGTCTGGAAGCAACACCTCAATTTGTATCCTAATGTCCTCAACTTCTACTTCTCCCAGCCCTGCTACCATGACAGAGGCTAGGCACTTCTCCAAGGTCCTCCAGGACTGGGTGAGTCAGGAGCAGAAGGGTAATGCCACAGAGTCAAGCTGGGCCTAAGGGATTGAGACTCATGTCTTCAGGGACTAAGTAGGTGAGGGGAGGTCAGTAGGGAGCAGGTAGGTGAGGGGAGGCAACATGGAGCAGTGGGATCCGGGGTGCTCCAAAGCTCATGTGCAATCAGAAGTCATGGCAGCCACTTGACTCCAGTCCATGCTGCCATGTGGGAAGATGGGTGTAGTGTGGCCAAAATTTATGATTTTACAAGAGAGGTTAGAAATCTGGCTTTTAATGAGAAAATTTTTTAAGCACTGTGTCAGTCGAACTGCATATATCTTTGATGTGACCAATGGAACAACTGTTTCCTCTGAGTTAGAGCATGGATCAGAGAAGTTAGGACCTACAACTGAAGCCCGTTAGGGTCAGAAGGGCCTCAGTGGTCAGCTGATTGCCCCCACACTCCCCATCTCTGCCCCAGGAGTCCTCTTTCTACCTTTGGGCCTTTCAGTTCCTTTCTCACACTGAGTGGGCTCTCCCCCAGCAGCTGTGGGCTGCCAGAGGCACCTTTGGGTCTCTCTCCAGGGCTTGCCTTCTTTAGGCCTCTTCTCTCCTCAGGAAAGCTGGAGCCGGGAGCCTGACCACATCTGGGTGAGGTCTGCTGAGTTCTCCAGAGAGGATGGCATCTTTACACCTATGGCTTTGGGAGGCAATTCCCTGGTTCCAGGGCTCTAGGGGGCTGTTTCAAGCTGAGTGGATGGAGGCAGATAGCCCGTGAGTCAGGGGCCCCTGGGGCTCCTGAGAGGAGTTCAGGAGGACAGAGGGCCTGCAGTGTGCTCCTGCCTCCTCTGTGCCAAGGAGCTGCAGAGCTGGCAGGCCATACCCCAGGCTCTAGTGCCTCAGTTTCCTCATCTGGACAGGCTAAATGGGAAGTGACAGCATGGGTTCGGGGGTCACATGGACTTGGATTCATACATTCATACATTGGTCCTACCACTCACTTTGTGGATGTGTGAGCTCAGCGTTCCTCAACTAAACGATGGGGATGCTACTTCTGTGTTAGTGTTTTATTGCTGTGTAATGAACTGCCACACACTTAGTGGCTTAAAACACCCATTTATTATCTCATGCGTCTGTAGGTCAAAAGACTGGCAAGACATGGCCGGATTCTCTGCTTAGGATCTCACCAGGATAAAGTTAAGGTGTTGCCTGGGGCTGTGTTCTGCCTGCCCTGGTGCTTCAGGCCCTCTTTCAAGGTCTCTAGCTCTTGGCAGATTCAGCTCCTTCTCATGAAGCGCCTTCATGTTCAAGGCCAGCAAGGGCACCTTGAATCTTTTTGATGCCTTCCTCTTCTTCCTCTAGGGGTTCATGTGATTACATTAGGCCCACCCAGATAATCTGGGATAATGTCCCTATTTTAAGGTGAGCTGGTTAGTTACACCTGCAAAGTCCTACCTTGGGAGTAACATCAGTGGTGGAGATCATCAGATGGTGGCAGAATTCTGCCCGCCACAACCTCCAGGCTCTCAGAATGGTTTTATGGATTAAAATACCCCTGCCTGGCTCTCATCCCTCCTCCCTGAGAACCACTGTGGGGTTAGATATTTAAACACATAGGATTCCCTGCTGCGGCATGAACTGAATGGGAGGTGGAATATTCCTCACAGCAACCCTCTCTAGTAGCTGGCATTGTCTCCATTTTCCAGATAGGCAAACCAAGGCTCCAAGATGTCAAGTGATGCGTAAGTGGCAGAGCCAGGACGTGAACTTGTCTCCAATTCAGCTTCCATACAGAAGTTCGCCATCTCACCATTGGGCCCAAGTCCAGAGCCCCTAGGTCCTTTGGAAATTCATTTAGTTCTCCAGGGAGGCATCTACCGGTATCAACAATTTCCCTGTGATTCAATTTATCTGGCTGAATCCAGGTATTTCTGAGTTCCCAGTAAATAACTTAGGTGTGTTTTTCATGGTGTCACCTGTTTCTCTACTTCTTTTTTGTCAGGGTGGCCAGGAAT